TCAATCTATCTATGAGCAAGTTCGCCAGTCTATTACATCTCACCCTAGAATAGAGCAGTCTGAGGGAAAAACGCAATCATTGATGACGAATAGGCTTCAGAGAGGTGGATATCGAGAAGGCTCCATGATGTCTAGTAATGCATATAGACCTAGTGAGTGTAACAGGTTTCGTAGTACATCCTCAACAGATAAGTTGCAAGATGCAGGAGGAACACGGTTGTGTTTTGCACGCTTGCAAGAGGTGCATACAAAGGTGAACTGTGAACCAGTGAGCAAGTTCAGTGATAAGCTAAATGTAAACTCCAGACCTGACTCCGAACTGTGTGACGATAACGGTGCGGTCAAGAAGTCTGTATTTGCAACTGGTAAGCCATTGTTGAATACAGTGTCACAGAATAGATTTGCTGCTTCAGAGTGCAGTTCTAACTCCACAAGTTTACAAGGTATTACTAGTCAGAGTGAAGGTATGAAATCTTTAGGGATTTGTGAGGAAGAACCCAAATCATCTACTTCTGTTATTAAAGAGTTTGAAAATGATGAAGTCGACCAGATAGATGATGGTAAATTGAATATTTGTGATAATGATCATGATAGTGCAGGTTTGTCTTTGGTTGATCATGATGAGATGAGGGATATGCCTACTACTGCTAAGTTGAACAAAGGTTCTATACAGCTTGAACGTGAAGTAGAAATAAACACAGGTGCAGTTGCAGAAGGCATGCATACATGTGAGACCGTCAGGGTGATTGATCAGCATGTAGCCCACTTATCATCAGATGCTAGTGTTAAACCTGAGCTGATAGTAGAAGACAGCGGTGGTGGTGGTCTTGCAGGTAGACAAATTTCTGAAAGCCGACCAACAACAGCTTCTGATGCACCGCTAAGTTCATCAACTGGTATCAGTCAGTCGTCGTTGGTGTTGTCATCCACAATGAAACAGACGCCCATCAACTCCAGTATCTTGTGCAATGACTATGATAGTATTGGTGCATTTGAAAGGACGAAAGATATTGGTCAGTTTAGTGAGGATAAGCCAAGTGTAAACAAAGGAGTAATCGTTAAATTGACTTGCATGAATAAAGGCATTTCTAGTTTCAAGTTACTAATTGAATGCTATTATCTTTGGTGTAAATTACTCTGTGCCTACGCTTGGTTGACCAGATACGTCGTGTGTTTGTTCGTCATCTGTATTTTACGATACAATGACATGGGCGTGTTGCCGTTCAGATTTGAGGATATAGCTCATAAAAAGGAAGTTTGCAAATGAACTCTGCGACGATTTTCCAACCTAGAGCGTCAACCTGAGAAGGGTTGTAGGCGTACTGCTGTAAGTCCTACAGTTCTTCAAAGGGTAGCGCATCAATGAGCAGTCCAATGTGCTTGGTGTGTGATTTTGTACATATGTTCATATTGTATATACTGAATTGATATCATCTGTCATCTAGCTGTTGGTAATTCTGTTTGTGTCCGGACGACTTCCACTTGGATCATCAACCTGAGAGGGAATGTAGGCGTACTGCTGTAAGTCCTACAGTTCTTCAAGGGTAGTTTGTCGTGACAGAATCCACAACATTTGATGTGTTGATTGTACATATGTTTGCGTTACATTATTGTGTGAGCTCCAACTATTGTAATTGTTGGTTAATCTTGTTTGTGTCCGTACATTCCACAACTTACAATGGTCAACCTGTGAAGGGTTGTAGGCGTACTGGTGTAAGTCCTGTAATTCTTCAAGGAATTCCATCAAGACATGATCCGCGAGTTTGTGTGTGCTGTTTGTATATACGTGTGGTGTGTCATATCAATTGGTGTTTTTTGGATTCATTGTGTTTACTTGTTGTTTTCGTATCTTGTTGTTATTGCGTAATTTTGTTAAAATTTTCGTCGTGATTACTTCTGAAGTTGTTTCTTGTCTTCTACATTCGTGAATGAATTGATTGATGTTAGAGACAGCAGATGGGTCGTATACGCCGGGGAGGCTAGTGATGACGGCTCGCATACGTCGCCGTTACTAGAACTGAGGCAGAATGAGTGACAAGCGATTGCAGTGGTAATTGGTAGTGAATAGATAAGAGGATGTGCGTAGAGTATCGTGAGGTGGTGCTATGGTCACGTTGCATTCTGCAAGAGCCATTCTAGAAAGTGGCGATTGTGTTGCGAGAGGATGCCTTTAACTGGAAGGCGCAGGTCGTCATTGATGTGTGAGATTGTACTTTGAGTATGCCTGTGGTGTGTGCTTTTCTGTTTGTTTTCCATTTCATCTCTGTCCGTGTGACCCAGGTTCTCGCAATGGCATCCAAGTCAACGTGTATTGGTCGTGATGGAAAAAAGGGGTTGGATCCGTTTTTTGCCGGGGAGTGTCAATGGAGTTGAAGATTGAACGATCAATTCATGGTTGTTTTCTCAAAACCAACTTCCCCAATTTTTGCGGAGGCGTCAATACGACAGTCATCGTCCCATCGGTCGCTGTTCAGAAAGAAGTCAGCAGAAAACCATCAGAAGTAATATTGTCATTTATTACTGTAATATTTGTTCACAGACCTTAGCTGTAACAGTGTTTATATGTTGGTGTTACAATAAAGAATCCCCGAGACGCCAATTGGTGTTTTGGTTTTGCGTCCGTTATTACTAAGCGTTTCTGAGAATCTTCAAGGAACAGCGTGAGCCCGAATGCAGCAAGAGCTGAGCATTAACGGTTTATGAGAAGTGGCTGACAAGGGTAGTTCTTTTGTTACCAGTGAGGGTTTTGTACACAGTCAAAGAAACAAACAATAATGCGCTTATCCTAAAACGCCTAATGGGCGATTGAGGAACGACTAACGCAGCAGGTAACCATTACTGTGAGTGATTGCCTAGAGAGTCACATATTCCATCTCGGATATGGACTTCTTGGCAGATACAGGAGTTACATCCAGTGTCACATCGAAAACGAAGGTCAAACCGGAGTGGCAAATGTCCACCACCACGCTGCAGGTCGTCATTAAAGGCAAGATTGCTGCTTTTGGGCCGGACGCCCTGAACCCTGGCCTTGAATTTAAGCAGCAGCTTACCTGGAGTTTCTCTGTCACTGATCTCTGTGTCAGTAAAATATGTAGGGGGTCAAAAGGGTTCATCGATTCGGTTAAACCCCATCCATTTTGCATCCAATGATCAACTTGTTCATCTTCACCGGTTTGGTTATATCTCGGACAGCTACGTTTTCGAAATACAGGAACACGGATGCTGCGTCGTAGTGTGATTGTATGTCTCTGCATCCTCCTCATGCCATCATCAGTAAATACATTTCGCCTGTTGGGTGCATTAATGTGTCCTTTGTAGCTTTGCCCTTCATTTACTGGGTTTTGGACTGGGGCACTGTCCGTCTTTAGTCACTTGAACTGATAGCAACGCGACCTCTAAGGATCTTTGCACTTGCTTCAGATTGAAATGAAGCCTAGCGAATAAGAGAAGAACGTTGGTGCCTGTTCCTTCTTCGCAACCACTAGCATCTCCAGTAGGGATAACAAGAAGAAGGCTGAAGGTCTTCTACAAGTGTTGCTTTCAAATCAGTCTTCACCTAGCTAACACGTCAGTGTGAATGACACTCATTAAGTTGGATGGGCTTAATAGGTCTACGATACGACCGTTGTTGACATAAGTAAAAACACTGGTTAAAAAATAACTTGAGGGAAACAGTTACTGTTGACGTTGTCATGGAGGACAGCTAATGACCTTAAAGTGTACTGCAAAGTTTCACTTCGTCGAGTAGTTCGCAATCAATATATCGAGAAGGAGAATAAAATCTGCTTATTCAAATAACTCACATTAAAAAATAAAAAATATCAGAAACATCCATATGAAATGAGATGCCCTGTTGCATTATTTGAGAAAGAACACCTATGCATTGAGGCAAGGGCTGTTTTCTCTGGCTATTGTGGCCAAGTGTTGTGCAAAATTGATATGACAGCAACACATGGCCTTATGCAACAAACGTTCCCAATGACTAGGTATTCGCCTGAAGATCTTTTGGCATCACTAGGCTGCTGAGTTTGATAATCAGTGTTAATGAGTCTGCCTGATGTTCGCTTGCAAACAGCTTTATTTTACCGATATAGTGTTCAGCGTTATTACTTATCCGAGAGAGGAAGACTTCTGAGGTAGTTATACTGACTTCCTCCCTTTGCCCAGAAAGTCGGGAATTTTAAGCCCTCTAAATTTTGACATCCATCTATCAACTTTAAAACTAAGAAGGTGAGATACATGAGTTATAAGCGACTAATTAGTGAGATGATGATGTGTGCTGTATCAACTTTAGACAGTGGAAAGCAGTAGGACGTATGCTAAGGCCCTTCAGCTGCGTGAAACCCCACTTCTTTCTGCCTGAGATACCCAGCCGGCTTGTTTAGTCGTCCATCGGGAGGTGTGCTGACCTATGGATGGAGGGTGTGCGTATAAAAATAAAAAGGACCAGAAAGACTAAGGGAATTCAGGAGTCAACAAAAATTCTTGAGAAAACTAGGTTCTGTACACAAATCCGCTGAAGAGTGAAAGAGGCACTGAATACTCTGTGTTTGGAAGCTTGACGATGCAAGTTATCTGCTTAGTCATTTTTTGATAATACCTTCATTATTGTTGCCAAGTTTGTCCTCAGGATATAGGCTTAAGGTGATACATGATTATCACTTATTTGTTTTTATTCATCTTGGTTACGTTTATTTCTTTCCTCCTTAAATCCCTGCAACAGAAAGGTTAGACTACTTGAAAGCTCTGTCAGACAGTAAGTAGCGAAAGCCAATATGTTAGCTGTCCCATTTACTAAGTTTTTCTTCCCTGTTTGCTGTCGACATCAATATGTTTTTTCTGAAAAGATTCAAACTCCGAAATGTAAGATTAGGACTAAAGACTTCAAAAACTGTGACGCTATTTCTTCAGGTGTGACTGATGTGGGATGTTTAGTAGCAGTCTTATCTCTTGAATGATTTGATCTATTTCCGGTGAGAAGTATTAGGTTACTGTGTGGACTGTTCTAATGGGTGACAGGTATATAACTTCGTTGGTTTTTGTTTTAATCAATTAGGACACAAAGCATTGATTACCTTTTGCATTCCTACGAATACGAATTTTCATGAGCTTCTGAATTTAATCCATAGATGGAAAATAATAACTATTGTTTCCATTATTGTACTAAAATCAGTCATCAAATTTAAAATGAACTCAAAATGTGTTTCAGAATCGGGACGGGATGACTTAATGTGTTTTCCGGTTTTATACGACACATATTTCCTTAGATTTATCCTAATAACTGTTTTTATTCTTTCCAATGGTTGGTTCATTGTTAAGCTTTGACAATTTTTAGTGCATTGTGAGCAGGTCGTTACTCCTGAGGTGTCAATTTATGATGAAACCCCGGATGCACATACGGGAAGAGTTGTATACCTGGAGAACAAAACTGTTCTTATCAATGGGTTAGTTGGAGAGAAAGTTGTCATACAGTGCAACGTGTTTAATATGCCACGTGGTGCAAGGGTAACTTTATTTTAGAACCATGTTTACTTAATCTACAGATATTTTGGAGGAGAGATAGCTTATCAGGTGATGAAGTTTCTGAAGTGATCAATGATGGTCTTATGTCACGCGATATGTCAAGGTGGGAAGTTGGTCAAGGCAAGCAACAAGATTCTCTCCGGTGAGTTCTGGCTGTCATTTACGAGCTGTATCATCAACTGTTCTTACTAGTGTTTCCATAAGCTTTTATTAAAACATGGGCTAATTTATAAGGAATATTTTTGACTGTAGTTTCCTCTTCAGTAGTGCTCTCCACCATGATTGTTAGATATGTTTGCCTGAGACGTGAGCCTTGGGAAGGAGTAGTTTCAGTAGCACAGATGCATATGTGGAGCCTTAGTCACTAAAGTAAAGACTAAAAGTGTGTAAATTCATAAGCTTAAGTAGCTGAAACATATCCAAAGACTCTTTCTTTATATACGACAGATGCCTTCCGAAAGAACTTGGTGATGTAAAAATATAATAAGTGATTCAGACCTAAAAAATCTACCGATCTGTAAAGTTGATTAGAGCCCATTAATCCAGTATCGACTACTTGTTTGAAGTCACTGAGACGGTGAGAATCGTTTGCTTAAAATTCGATGAGGCAGTTTAACATCGTGAAAAACATGCGAGTGTATTTTTGTTTCGCGATTTCAGCAATTTATTATCATTTATTTATTATTTATCCTATCACACATACTTGTTCAAGGAACGACATTACGTTTCTAACGAGGTTTCCCTTCTGTGCTGTTTCAAAGTGTGAAAACTGTTCTGCAGCATTCTTTTTCATTTCATTTTTCACTTGGGCTCACTTTCTAGAGGAATGATGAGGATTTGAAATTTTTCAAACATGAATTTCTTCATTTTTGTTTCAAGCTTGGAAATTATGTCATTGGATAAGTCCTACGAAGGTAAATACACCTGTGAATGCCAGTATACTGGATCTGTGGAATCGGCAAGAGTTCACAGGATTTTACGCGTTTTCGGTAAGTTATTTTACTGCTGAGACGTTTGAGCGTTACTTATCTCTCACGTTCTACTTACAACAGTTGTCCGTTTACGTGTCTTTCATGCGTAGCGATATTTTCCAGAAAAATTGCCTATAATGCAGTGTAATCATCATGCACAATATTTAGATCAGGAATTGTTTTGTGCTGATTGTTAACAGCAGATGTTAAAGAGGTCCTTACCTAGGGCTCGGAATTGCCTATTATTTTAGCAATGAGAACTTGGGTGAGTAATCAAAGATTTCTTCACGGTCCAGGACTTAGATTACAGTGATCGTCTTCTTAGAGAATATGAGGACGTTAAATTCAAATGATTTCGGATAGCCTTATCATCAGTTTAGTTCCATTAAGTGTAGGAAAAGTGTGGATCGTTAGTTTAGATGCTTATCTTTCACAAAATCAGTTAATCGTCCAAATAAGTTAAATTCAATAGCTGAATTATTTCAAGGTCTATAAAAAACAGATTACCTGAATTTCAATTAGAAAGACATGATATACGATTTTTTTTATTGTCTATTTGACAGCTGTAAATACCTTGAAGATAGAAGTGACAGCTACACCAACGTGATAGCCACAATCTCATTGTTGTGGGTAAGCTAGCATATCGTCTAGATCCAGTTATTTCTGCTGATTGGCTCTTAGGTCAAGGTTGTACTAGTGAGGAAGATGGAATAGTGGTAGGACGTTTCTTCTGAATAATTAGATAGCCAGTTATGCTGACAACAGAGTCTTCAGAGGAACGATTTATAAGCGTAGATTTTATAGTTGTAAACTTCGGCTTCTTTTTTGGTAGCTCGTACTTGTTCACACTGTTTTTGTTAGGATGTAACCAGAATGCTATCAACGTAAAACAAGTGGTGTGTTAATCACCCTAAGGAGAAGTTGCTTGGAATATGTGGTAGCGTAAAACGGACTGTCTGTACTTTTCAGGCGTAGAATAAGCAAATCGACTTACATAAGTTGACGAAACTGTTGAACGCATACACAGGTTCATAGAAGCTGAAGCATCTTCTAGACTCAAGTAGTCTTCTCCGTTGATATTTATTTTTTCTCTACCTGATTTTGCTAGCAAAACTATCTTACCATCCAACTTGCCATACTGAATCTCGTGCTAACAATCCCATTTCATGGAGTTGTATACCTGCCACTTTGGATCTTTACTCCAGATTACACATCACAGCTTAAACTTCCAGCGACATATATATATTGAACGCAGAAGCAATCATTCGCAGCCTAAACTCCAGATTTACACTGTATTTGTCAAGGAGGGATTATTCAATGGACTTCATATTACCACATTATTGGGATTACACTTTTCACATTTTGTGTATCTAAACATTTTATAATACATTTTAGTGACCTTTCAGTTTTAGTTATTGCATTAATTTCTAGAACAGGAAGCGTACAGTTCAACTTGATCCCAGCTGGGTTGGATTTTCACTGTCTTGTTTCCAACTGTTCTACAACATTAAAAGTAAAAGGAGTGATGATAAACACAGGAGCCTATCTTGTAGCCTTGCACTCGTTAGCTGTAGTTGGTGGAGTAGGTTACACTTGAAACTGTCTGTTCTGTTAATGCTGCGTTTAGACTTAGTTACCTCTACAGGAAATTTCAACACACAGTTGAAGAGGTCAAGTCAAACAGTAAAGCTTCTAGTTAATGCTTTCGGAAGTGAAGCCCAGTATGTCAGTAATAGTAATTGTTTGCTGCTTCTGTTTGCAAAGTAAAAGAGAGAGGGCTTGTTTGACATATGTGGTGGGCACACAAACTAAACTTCACTTAGACAGACTATATTTCCACTAGTCACCGGTACGGTTCTCCTTGTTTCATATATGCAGAAACAATCTATTGTATTCTAATACTTTAAACTTGCCTAAAAGTTATAATTTTACAAATCACACTATTTCATGCTTACTTTTTTTTAGCAAAGCCGAATATTGTCCGACATATGTCATCTTATGATACAGATGCTGACGCTGGTGATTCAGTTGAACTGCAGTGTAATGCTGATGGGATCCCACCGCCATTCATATATTGGAGACGTACGGCTGGCGCAAGTAGCATAATACGTAATTTTGGCTCTGTTAAGAGTGTAAGTGGTTAAAACAAGTACGAATGTTTTTTTCAAAAATATGTTCAGTTGGTCAATTAAAACGGATCTATAGATAGGTAAAAGACAATAAAAACACTCGGAAAATCTGTACTGATTAACTTCCAGGAGTAACTGAAAGTGAAAGAGCACCAGTGTTGTGTGACTACAGAGCCCAAGGGGTGACTGCTTAAGGTCAGCCACATACTACGTGTTTGAAACGGCCTTCCGAGTTGTGCCCACATTGAGATATTACCACTGGCCACGAACCGCTACAAGTTGAGGTGTACTATTCCCGCTTTCAGTATTTTCTAATCCCTTCCCCAGAGCGGAGGATCAGTTTAGCTGGATCGCTATTCTTCTGAGGGAAAAATCTGACTGATGTAACGTCCTTATTTGCTAACAGTACGACTTATCCCAGATACCCTAACATATTGTAAATGACTAACACAATGATGATAGCTGCTTCTGGTCTGACCCTTATGCAGATGACCTTTGTGGAATGGTAGAACGTGTCGTAACATTAGTATCAGCTAGCTCAGCGTTTTGCGTCACTGCATTATATAAACCCAACCACCGCACCACGATAACAACCAACGGTTGGGCAGGAAGTCTGTTTTCCCTTCAGTTTTTGAACATTCTACTATATTAAATAAATTAGAAAGAGTAATGGTTGATGAAAATCTGAGTCTCAACACAGTTCCAATCAGTGACCTCTAGATAACTAATCCGAAACAAACGTTACTAACTACAAACCTCATTCGCTGACCAGCTGCTTATTCTGCTGCAACCGTCACGATTAGAAGGGTTGTACCTGCCTAATTAGAATTTCTGTTTTTATTTGAATCCTGGAAGAATAGGTAAAGTATACATTTAGTTGGATTAATTTGGCCTTGTTTTATCGTGGTTTCTGTAACTGATCTCCTATTTGGATTTTCATTGTTATGCATATTATTATTTTTGTTCCCTTGGGTTCCAAGTGGGACATAGAGCTTCAACAGCATATCTCCACTTTGTTCTATTCTCCGTTGTCCTCTTCAGCCTTGTGCACGGTCTCCCAGAATCTCGCATCTCCCCCTCCTCTCACGACCTCCCACATGTCACCTTCTCAATGAAGATCCACTCGTCGCTTCCCAATTGGATTCCACTTGAGGGCCTGGCGCGCGATGTCATTTCTCCTACAAATTTGCTAACCGATTGGCTCTTGGTTGGTTTGTTCATCGCCAGAGTTTCTTGTTGTTAATTATTTCGGGCCGGCTAGCTGGCCAATCTTCAGTATGTAGTCAGTAAAGGCAGCTGTTGGCAAAAATTTGTGGTAACTTGCCGGGGATCTTCTTCATGACACGCAGTGCAAGTTCCTGACTCGTATAGAAGAACTTGCTGGCTTCAAATTCCCGTTGAACAGAATCTGCATCTCGTTCTTCATGCTGAGTTAGTGCAGTGCAGAAGATTTCCGAATTGGTTTCAGGTTACTGAAGGCGTATCTTGCCTTTCAGATTCTGGCTGGTTGCCTTGGACATCTTGATCCGTTTCGACTGCCTGTGGTTGAAACCGTGCTTTATTGTGAGATAAGTAAAGGAAGTAACCTCCGTCAAATCTCTTCCGTTGGTGGTGATTGGTGCTGGTTGTTGTTGTTGCTGTTAACTGATTATCTTCATCACCTCTCTTCTATCTGTGTTCGCCTGGATCCCTGTCTTTGCTGCCTGCATCCCCTGCCAGTTTTTTTGATTTCTCCTGCAAGTCTTCGAGTGTGAGTGACATTAAACATAAATCATCCAAAGGCGAAATCCAGATCTTCTAAAGTCTTCTCATCCGTCAGTACAATGTATCCCTGTCTTCTCACCCCCTGGGCACAGTCTGGCGCATAATCCAGTCGGTCTACCACAACTGAGAACATCATCAGTGATAACAGACAGCCAGCTTGTCTTACTCCTGTATTCACTTCAGACTTCTGACTTAGCTTCCCGTTGTGGATCGTCTGACACGTATCATTGTCATATAGGTGTTGAATGAGGTTGATAATGACTTGAGCACTGAACGCCGTAGTGTTGAAGTAGTTTCTGAATTACTTCTCGGTCAACTCTGTCTGTCGAAGGCTTTTTTGAAGTCGATAAAGTTAAAGTACAAGTTTCTCGTTAGTTGATTACATGTGACTGAGATCTTCAGTCCCTTTTGATATGTCTGTATGGGGAATAAACTTGTAATATTTATTGTGTTGTGACTAGGAGTTGAATCCAGGATGTGATATGAAACTTGTCGGCTGGATGTACCTGCAATCTTCATTGGTTAATGGTGTTCTCACTGAGACTCGAACCCAATACTCTTAGTGTATAATGCTTTGGGTTTTTGAAAATGTGGGTGTCTGGTCCAGGTGTCAATGAAAACATCACAGTAAGATACAGGTCCATCTAGCTGATAATTATCAAGTCGTACGAAGTAGGAATCTCGGATTTCACTTGTAGTCACCATCCAACGCAGCTTTGTTTTTATGTTTAATACTTTTGACTACTTATAAGTAAGCAAAACAAAACTTGAAAAGCTTCTGCAGACATTTATTAGTACCGAAAGTCATTTTAATACTCTTTTTCATTTCATTCAGTTTAGCTTATTTTATCAAATTACAATGAAATAACCAGAGGCATCATCATAAAAAGACAAAAAGTTATACTGAATAAATGAATAAATTAAAAAAAAGAATCTGAGACATGCACGTCGTCATAACTGTCTGAACTATTACGTCAATACCTTTCCTTTTTTAAACATAGATGTCAGTGGAGAAAATTCTCCTTGAGAGGATTTCGTTTTCCTAATTGTAAAAATGGTAATATTTACATAAGTATATGTCCTGAAAAATTCATCTATTCACATTTCTGAATGTATTTAGTTTTCACTATCATTTATTTACTCATGTCGTCTATCGAGCTTTATTCCGAATCAGTTTGTGATTTATAATCGTCCTCACCAGTATTGTCAAGGTGTCAAGGTTTGCAGGATTTTGCTTGATTTAAAGTTTGGCAACGGATTGATATGAGTCAGAGAACCATTGAAAAGTAGGAAGCACTGCATAGTTGTTTCTTCCTAGGTTGGAACTCTTATAGGTGCGTTCACTATCACAGCAGGGGTCGGGGACATAGGATATTCAAGTTAGGAGGCAGAGCTCTTCGGTCACTCAGCCACTGGCATGGAACACAGTTATTGCTGAATATTTGTTTTCATACCCTGCAAACCAACACTTCGAAACTAAAGTGCTATTCACTAGTGGTTGACTACAGGATGAAGTTGCCCGAAGATCTAGTGAGAAGTTGTGACCAGTGGGGTCCACCATGTTGGGTGTGTGGACAAATACGCGCTCCAAAGACATTGGCTGGCGAATGCGCTACATATGGTGAATAGGCAGAAGTTAGAATTTATGGCTCTTTGAATTCCATCCCATTGGGGGCTGAATAGTCGACGAACTCGCTCTGAAACTTGAGTGTCCCTGGTTCTGTCTGCGATAGTATCACGCGTAGGTTCCTCTGGAATGCCTCAATTTACGATGGAAGAGTTGTTTAATACTCTCTGGTCTTTAATGTCTCTCTGATTGAAGTCAATTTGTGATTAAATCTACACCAATATTTTCATACTTCATTATTTCGGCTTATTCTTGAATCTTAACACACGCACTCATAACAAGCATAGTTGTTATTGTTTATTGTATTCGACATATAAATATGATTGTAAGGCTACGAAAGTCAAATCATCAGAAAGAAAAGTTTCCTTCAGGATTTCTTTATGAAGTGACATAGGTTAGAGGACCTCGTGGAAGACCTGGGAGTGTTGAACAGCCAGCTGTTTCGTCCTAGTCTGGGACTCTTCACCAGCATACACTCACTGAAGTTTGAACCCAAGACCTTCGGGTTACAAGGTGAGCTGGTAGATCATCTAGCCACTGGGATCCTATCCAACGGCCAGCTCATGAATTCCAACTTCTGCCAATTCATGATATGCCGTGACCATTAGTGAATGTCATCGGTGGCGAGTGTTTGTCCTCACACTCAAACCACTCTATCCCGCGGGTCACAACTTCTCACTGGAAATCAGTTAACTACCTACCGGAATAGGGCTAGTCACTAGTGAGCATCAGATTCATATTCAAGTGTTGGTTTGCAGGGATTTGATTTAATTGGTTACAGGATTTCATCATGAACTGACATCGGTTTGAGGAATATTGGAAAACCAGCTGGGTGTACTTTCTTCACTGAAATCTTTGTTTTGTGTGTCAGTGGGTATTATTAGTATAATTAAGAAAAGTGACTACTCCATGATGTGTGGGAGATCTTAACTGGTTTTTATCTTGCTCCATCAAGCGTATGTAAGTTTCGTGCCTACTGACACTCATCAGTAAGGTGTATATGTGACCTCGAAACGAGTGACATCCAGTGCTACAGCCACAGATGTATATTGGCGAATCATTCTCTATTTGTGATACAAAGTACATTGGATAAGCTGTTGGTTTTATTTCTCAACAATTCGCAATAAACTTTAGTTTCCCTCGAGATTTGAATTTATAGATTGTTGATATTTTCTCAGTTTTTCAGTCCAACGTCATCAATGGATTGATACATTTTCAAAAACATGTGGGTATTCGATGACGTCTAATGATGTTTTCTTTCTTTCCGTGTATTCTGATTGGAACATGAGATTTGAACCATTGAATCCTGAAGTTTCTGAAGTTGTGTTGTTTTTGTTTTACTGCGATACGGTCACTAGCTCTATATACAATATATAAACTAGATTTTCTGGAAATAGAAAACATTTCAGGGTGTAGAACTCTAACGTGAAAACTTCAAATTCTCGAAAACCCTATACAACTACTATTCTTATCTTCAACTATAGTTATTTGTTAAATGGTGACTAGCAAAGGAATCCAGGGTGCACATTTCGTCCTGTTTAGGAATTGTCATCTGGATGTACCTGAAGTCTCCATTGAGTGATGGTATTCTCACTGAGACTTAAACCCACAACGAATCGTTTCAAACGCAAAAGCGTTATTTACTAGAGGTGTTGGATTAGAGCATCAGTGGAGACACTACCATTCAATGGAGGATGTTGGTACATGCAGCTGACGAGTCTAAAAGTGGACGAAATACATATCTTGGATTCCGCTGTAAGTCACCGTCTGCCATCATCATAATCCTTATACATCGCCGCAGCCTCCATACTGCAGGCCGACATGCCAAGAGAGACTGAATATTTTGGACTGTTATAATAAATCAATGAGGAATATCAAGCCAACTTGAATATACAATCCAATAAGTTTAAAATTTCAAATGGAATTGGCTCTTTTCATTATTATAAATAATTTATACAATCTTGTAGCCGTTTGATATGCCTTTTTTGCTGAATCTCATAAAAATAAGGTCAGACTCTCTGTGTATTATGACACAATAACAAGCATATCTACAATTCATATTATTTTTAATAATTCTTGGGATTAATTTTCACTGAGGAGAGTGCTTTACACCAACATAATTATCTTTTTCTGAGCTCAGCTTTGTACTGAATTATATCACTGCATCAAAGAGTATTCAGCTTATAACTTCATCATCATGGATCTATCTGCAACGAGTTTGTTTTAGGTCCTATGCTTTCCAAGTGGAATATGTCTGTCTCTGTCTGGATTCAACATAGAACTTGGCACCGAAGTGCACCAGTTCGAGTTGCCACGTTCCAAATAGCACACAGAGGTAGACAAGAAGATGAGTGAAGAGAATCAATAGAGTTTGACAAGTTTAAGAGTGAAACAGAATGGGTAATGGTAGAAAGGAATATGAAAGATTACAGAGACTGAATATGAAGTATGGAGGGCTTCAAGCTTCAGCTCTGAAGTATCAGTCGTCTCTGAGGGATGTGGTTAGTTGCCTCACATTCTTTCCTCTATCTTTACCGGGCTTATAATCGCCAAAGTGACTTTTAGGAATACGTCAGTCGGGAATTGAACCCGGACCATTTGTGGCGTGATCAGCAAGCATTCTACCGGTGAACTAATGATTCAGTGTTACATTTCGTGAAATTTTATTGATCACTGTTTAATTAGTATTTACTATGTATTTAGATTGGATAATGCGACAGACAGCTGCGGACAGCGAGGAAAGAGGCATAAAATGGACCCACACAAACTACTTGGAGGGTCTGAACTTCGCCGTTGATATGTGTATGATTTCCCACAAACTGGAAGATATGCAAATGGAAAGCAACAAGTTGGCAATAGAAGGAGGCATCTAAGATAGGGAGGACTTCAAGTGAACATAGAGAAAACAGATGTGGTGATGACGATTCCTGGCCAACAGCAACAACAACAGACAGCAATAAGCATGAATTGGAGAAATCTGAAAGAAGCAACCTCCTTTATCTACATAGCTACCTACCTGGGAAGCATCGTTTCAACTACAGGCTGACGGAACTGATGAATATATCAAATTGAAGATCGGGAAAGCAAGGCGAGTTTTTATTGGTCTCAAGTCTGTGTGGGGGTCAAGAGCACTTAGCATGAAACATAAGATCCAGAGTTTCAAGTCCAGTGCTGTTATACGGATCAGTGACTTGGTGCCGCATCACGAAGGGCACTTCGAACAAACTACAGACCTTCATCAACAGCTGTCTTCGCTCAACACTACTCAAGATGAGATGGCCAGCCAGGAAAGATAAGCAACAGGGATATGTGGGAGCGAGCCAACCAGAAACGTAGACGTGGAGCCAGATAAAAACGTTGACAGAGAACCGAACGTTATGGAAATGTGTGGCTGAAGCCGTATGTTCCTCTAAGAACTAAAGGAAACGATAATATAATAATAATATGCTGTATTATTTTATCTGAATTGGTTTGTAAAATATTCAAAGTTTGGTTATTGTCCTACACACACACACACACACAACTAGTAACCATATTGAACACTTAGTTAGCCGATTTGCTCCAAGCAACTGTATCGCTTAATATCTGCCTAGTGATTTGTAAAATCCTGCATTGTGTCGGTGAAAGAAAAAGCAAACTGGCATTACTGCTTCATGACTCGATGACAGACGTTTTAGACTTCATAATCCTTTAAATACTGTCTCTTAGGCTAGTTGTAGAAGACCTGAATTCAGTGATGGTTGAAAAGGAATTGAAATCAATGCTTATAAGTTGAACTCTCTAGACTGTGAATATTTCAAGCTTTCTTTCTATATCTGGTTATGACAAAGAATTATGCTTCAGTTTTTCAGGAGGGAGTTTTGAGAGGACACTTATTGTTCGGCATAGTTTTGGTAGATTTAATATTTTTCCTTTTTGTGATGTATATTTCTTTAGGGTAATGTTATTAAATTTGACCAAGTAGAAGCTGATGATGCCGGAGAGTATATGTGTTATGCTGAGAATTCAATGGGTAAGGCTACTTGGCGTGTACGATTACAAGTGAGACGTAAGTTGTTTGAGTAATTATAATAATAATAGTTTATTTTAATTGAATTTTTTTGATTTTTCCGTCGATTGATTGGACCGAAGTGCTCGGTCTCAGGTTGGCATGTTGGCTTCTTGTCCAATCAATCGACGGGAAAATCAAAAATATTAAATTAAATTAATATGACTCAATTGCACAAGAGGTAGCTTTCGTGGCCCAAGTGGTCTAGTGGATAACACTTTGGCGTTTGAAACTATGGGTACTGAGTTCGAGCCTCGTGGGAACATCATCACTCACTGAGAAATGCAGGTACATCTAACTAATGAGTCCCAAATAGGACGAAGTGCGAGTTATTCTGGACTCCACTGCTAGTCACCATCCACCAATTAAATAATAATAGTTTATATTGGCAATGTATCTGATATTATTGTCATCGTACTTTGAGATGTCCCAGTGTTTAATCTAATTGAACCGAAGTGACAAATAAGTGCTAACATATGAGGATTCCTCTTTATTGATTATTATATATTTTATTACTTTACGTTCCCAGCGGAACATATGTCTTCAAGTCTAGATCTTTGAAGTTCCGGTAGCAGTGGTGCTTATTTTTACGGGATGGGTTTGCTAGCCTCACCTAGGCCAACCTGCCGATTTTACCAGTCTTGTTACTGGCTTAGCCGAGGTAAATGAGTGCTTCCGTGGTCGGGGGTCGAACCCCGAACCACTTGCATAGTTGGTGAGCATTATTCTACCTCTTTGCCTTAATATCGTTATGTCCTCGCTTTTTAGTAGCAATGTGGATTGGGTTTGTAAGAATTTATCTGTGGCTGAGTTACACGTACATGTAACTGATGAACAGCAGATGAAAAAATTCTCGTTTGGGAATCATCAATAGTACGCACCCACCATAGGGGCCTCGAACCCAGAACCTTCTGGTTACAAAGCAAGCTCGTATACCATTCACCCATTGGGACCTGATTCAATTGCCCATGAATTCTAACTTCTACCAATTCGTGATTTAGCGCGACCACCAGTGTCATTGGTGGGAAGTCCATCCTCACACTTGACTGGCTTGACCTTACTGGTCACGACTTCTCACTAGAACTCCAGGAAACTCCGTCCTTTAGCAAATCACTAGCGATTAACTTTCAAGAGTTGATTTGTAAGGATCAGATTTTGTTTTTACGAGTTTGGTAGTGCTAAATCACGAACCGGTAGAAGTTAGAATTCATGAGCCGTTGGATCGGGTCCCACTGGCTGAATGACATACAAGCTTTCCATATAACCAGAAGGTACTGGGTTCGAAACCAAGTGAGTGCGTACTACCGATGATTCCCAAGAGACTAGGATGAAACAGCAGCTGTCCAATACTCCCAGTTGTTTTTCAATGGTTCCCTGGTTGATATCAATCCGTGGTCTAACTCGTAAAAACAAAATACTAATCCTTACAAACCAACCCTTGAAAAAAATCTTCATCTCGTAATTCTCACTACTAACTACTAAAATAATAAATAAAATTGATTTCAGTACAGATTTCGTCACGAACTAACACCAGTTAGCGGTTGAGTTATATCCCGAGTTGGCAAAGTTAGAATTTAGCTCAAGAGATTGAAGGGTCAATGAGATGTCTTCATAACTTGAAGGTCTCTGGTTCGATCCTCGGTTTTATCGTGGTTTCACACTTCTACAGAGTTTTAATCTAGAATGAATCAGTTGTCGTCCAATGCTGCCTGGTTTTCAGTAGTTCTCTAATTAATACACCGGAAGTAATCCCTAAGATGAATGTGCTCTTCGCACTATGGAACCTCCTATACATTAATTAAAAAGTCAAAAAACGGTTACGTCGCTAGACCGCCAGTTATCTAGAACATATTTATCATGTAACCCAGTTATAAGTCACATTTATTGTGTGACGGGTGATAGTGTAACAACAGAAGACAAGGGCCAGGCAACAGATCGTTTTATTATGAAAATCAACACGTATTTATGCATATTTCACATACATTATTATAGACAAGCGCAGTCATCTGTTTGGTTGTTTATCAGAAGTTAGGCAGACAAACGTAGGCTTCTGATTGGTTGTTTCGGGATTCCTTGACAAATAGAGTTCTCTATCTGCGAATCATATTTTGCCACGTTAACTTTGCTGTGATTGGTTGTTGAATCAGCCTTGCTCATATTTTCTCACGGCCTGCTCTCACCACAATAGTGCTATTCGATTTCCCGAAGTGAAGAAGGGGGAATGTGATTTGAAGCCATGATCTGGATCAAGTGACCACATATAGATGATATATACCGTAACAGCATTACGAATGAATAAAGCATAACAAGAGGAGTGATCACATTAAGTACATTTGAAAATAACCCTCATTAATCTGGGTTTTCTGCTTATTTGCAGAAGACATTAAAGAGGCCATTGAAAATTCATCATTGATTTTGATTTGTGTTCGATGTCGCCTACAGATACTAAATTGTATAATTTAATGAAACGGTAGTAGAGAGTTGTCATTAAAAACGATGTATGCTCAGTTAACACGATACTGATTTTTTATCTTATAAAGGAATCTTATAAGTTTTCACGGGTTCTCATCATCTGCAAACTACCTGAGATTTCAATAGTTATATAAATGATAATAACATACTTTAATGTTTAAGTAGTAGTAGAGAAGAAATACTATAAAATTGACACATCCAAAATGAAAGTATTACAATTTTTAGTTTAAGTTTTCATCATCAATTTATACGCTTTCAAAGTAGAAAAGAGTGGGGACGGGTAGGACAGAAAACAGGAAAAAATAACCAACAGTGTTGGCTTGTAGGTTCACATAGCAACTCAAAAGACAAAGGCGATGACAGTTTATATGATTAAGACTTACTCAGTGAGTTGAGATCACTGAATTAGATGACTAATTAATGTAATCAAAATCAAAATTCACTTACCAAGGGAGTAGGAGACTAATCACATTCTCCTACTGTATGCATAAGTTTGGTTTGAATCGCTGGATTGCGATCACTTGAGCAAATCGTAGCAAAATTTGCTGTCCTTTCTCTATTTAATATTTTGAAGGACATAGAAATCTCTACGAGAAGTCTGGTATCAAAAATATATCTGGTAATTGCACTCTGAGAATATTTGTTTCTTTTCAGGCACCGGTTTCCTGGAATATGTTCAGAAAACCGACTGGAAGCCCTTATTTCTGTCCTTCTAATGTACTTGCTCCCTCAACTGCACGCGAATTCATAAATGCAGTTGGAGGTGACATCAGCAGGGTATTTATTCAGTTTTGGTTGGCTTATAGAAGAGGTAGGGCTGTATAATGTTATGAGTCTAGCTGCAGGGAGGCTTCTTTTTATTGCACCTTTCATTCTTTTGTCAATCTTTCGTGATATCCTCTTTGTGTGGGCTTGAGATTATCTAGGAAACTGGCCGAAGAGGAGGCGAGGATAGGAATTCTAGCGAACGTAATGAAGACAGAGGTGAAGAAGATATTTAAACACCACCACCAACAGCAACAACAAAATACTCCAAGCATTATGAAAGCGAGAAGTTTGAAGAAAGTGATCTCTTTCGCTTATTGAGGCAGCATCATCACTTCAACTACAGGGTGAGGACATCAAAGTTACACTTGATCGGGAAATATACTGAACTGCACTAGGCATAAAGAACGACATTTGGGTTTTCAAAGCAAGTATCCAATCGATTCTTCTATATACGGTTCAGAAAACTTGATGTCCCACTAAAAGCATTTTGAACAAGCTGAAGACTTCCATCAACAGCTACCTTCGCCCCTGGATACTGTAGATCAGATAGCTGACTAGAAAGAATGAGCAACAAGAAACCATGGCAATGAATCAAGGAAAAATCTATTACTCAAAAAAGATGTCACAGAAGATGGACAGGGATTGGGTGCACCCTGAAGGGACCGTTAACTAATGACATCTCGCGCGACGGGCATCCTGGAGCAGAGCCTGAACAGGAAGCAACGAGTTGGGCTTGAGTTTGAGTGTGACACGGAGGAGATTGTGTAAGGAGGAGAAGGTAGCGACCGTACGACCATCTTAAGGCGACTGCAAAGAACAGGATAAACTGGAGAAATGTTGTTAAAGCCTTATATTCCACTCGGGACTTAAAGAAATAAAAATGATAACGGCTCTTATCAAAACAATTGTAGCATCAGCATAGAAAAGTAGGCAGAAAATTAGTCATACTGTAGTGGGAGCTGTCTGCAATCCAGAATTGTTCACAACAATTTACGTCAGTGTTTACATCCTCAATCGGGGTCATGAGAAAAAAACAATAACACAGCTTAATCTTGAGGAACTCACCAACCAATCACAGCGGACTTAACGTATGCAAATACTATTCGCAGATATATGGCTTAACTTCTTAAGAAACGGTCACCAGCGGTAAGGAATAACCTTCAGCGAGAAAACAACCAATCAGAAGGCTATACTTCTCCGCTGACAGTAATGTACATAAAAACCTATGAATATATGTTGTTTTTCTCAATAAACAATCTGTTGCCTGGCCCTTGTCTTTTGTCGTTACAATACTACTCTTAAATACTTAGAAATTACATCACAGAAATAGATTTTGATGCGAATAAACAATGTGAGTAAATAGCATGAAGAGCTATTGAACACTAAGCATGTCTGTAATATACTTTTTGTATCTAAAAAATGGTGATGCATACATGATTGAATCTTTTTTTTGTATTTGTAGATGCACCAATAGTTCGAATATTCCCATTTGTACCATCACAGAAATCTGGTTGTAATTTACGACTGATATGTCTGATTGATGCTAATCCACCGGTCTCACAACACGCTTGTCGATGGTCATCGAATCGAACGGGGACTGTCACATCATCATCTGTTGGGTAAGTGCTACTTCATATTTGATGATGTCAAACATGTGTGGAGCTAGTGTTTTGGATAATTAACTTGACAAATCTAAGGAGTTTCTGCAAGCGGCACATTCTATTCTTCATTTATGCCTAGTGGTGTCATAGTTTCAGATAGGGTTTCGAAGACGACAGAAGCAGGCTGATATAAGCTAGAGAAACAAAAGGATAATGGAATGCCAATAGAATGTCTTGTCTAAGTCACTTAAGTGTCACTTAAAACTGTTTGGTTCAAGTCACATTTGAGTGTTTTCTAATGACTGTGACACCGCCTAGGTGCCTTTTTCGAAATGCGACGATCTGTATTTCTGAACTTCAGTCGTTTTAAAGATGCAATACTATAAGTATATAATATTACTGGCAGAAATTCGTCTCCATATTGAAGGCAATCGGTAGGCAAGTCGTCAGTAAGGCGTATCGGCAATATCAATGCAGCTACTTTCAAACATATCACTTGTTAGACTTAGTCGGTATCCATGGCGTATGAGTTCGTGTACCTGATTTACGCGATTTGTGTATTTTTTGCGCATATTGGTCTAGTTCTTGTCCTTGACGCTTTTCTTTTCATGGTTTTGCATTCTGAGTGGAACACATGGCTACAACCTTGAGCTCTGAAGTTTCAGCAGTAGCAGTGGTGTATTTTTTACGATGTAGGAGGAATGCTAGTCTCATGCTTAACTTCCTCTCTTTATTGAGACTACTACTAGCTCGTCGCTTTCTAAGAATTCAGATACATCCATCTGTCTAGTTCCAAACAGAATGAAATGCACGTCTTGGATTCCATAGCCAGTCGTCACCAACCAAAAATAATACGAGTAGAATATCTTTGTCCATTTCTGTTATTATATAATTTTCACAAGTTATTTCATGAATAATCCTCATCCAGGCATTAATGAAAGCAACAAAACAAGTAGTTCAGATAAGCGACTGCCTTCTGCGATTTCCCTTTCCTCTATAGCTGTGCAATCGCATTTATATACAATTTTTCATGAGTTATCATATTCATAAATTGGTTGATTCTTTGGGTACCTGAAACAGAAAGAGGGTTAGTGTTCCGTGACCGCAGAGCCCAGGGGACAACTGCTTGAGCCCGGCCGGTCACACACTGCTGGCACGTATGAACTGGTTTTTTGGATTGATTTGCGTATAAGTAAACTTACTGCCGGTTACGGACCACTATAGGTAAGTCGGGAAAGTACAATTATTTGGGTTTACCTTTTCTAACCCCCTCTCTCTGGAGTGGAGAGACAGCATAGCTGGGTGGCATGCTGGTCATCTAAGGGAAACACCTCACTGCTGCTATACCTCTGTTCCCCAGAAGTACCGCTTCGTCCACAGACCCCCCCCAGCATAGTGTAAAAAAAATTCTTACACTATACCGTTAACTGCTTTTAGTCTAATCGCTATCCTAACAACCTTGCTGGCATGGAAGAACCTGCAGGAACAATGGTTCCAGCCAGTGTAGCTTTTTGAGTCATTGTGATATGCAAGACCGACCACCATGTCAAGGTAGGCAGCTATCAGTTGGGAACATTCGAATAAGGTGTTGGCGTTATATAATCGGATAAATAGCTTAATTAATGAATGGTAATCTGAATGCGTATAGTAACGAAGGAAAATGTGAAGATACGTAAAAGTTTGAAAGAAATACAATGGTTATAGAGAGAGAGAGAGACAAAAACTATCAAAAATAAAGTTAGTGGAGACCATCATGATAGTAATTTCCTTTTGCATACAGAACTCCAGCTTCTCTCCCTGAAGCTTCAGTAATGCGAAGGAGACGCAAGCTTATTGCCTTTGTCAGGTTGCTCTTCACTTGGCAGATTACTTTCAAGGAAGCATTGGCTGAGTTAGAATGACCAGTGTTGACAAGGCATTTAATTATCGTACTCCTGATAGAGACACTATGCGGCTGCGGTTCAGTGACGGAACACTCGTCAACTACTTATGTGGTGTGCAGTTCGATGCCTGACCGACGCACTCCTAATCTTCGCTTCTTTAGTAGTATTCCCGGTGAAGACGGAGGGTTAGGCGTGAGGCTAACAACCTAACCCCTGTAAAAATAAACACTGGTGCTACTGAATTTTCAGAGCTCAAGCTTGAGGCCCTATTTCCACCTGCAGCGCAAGGGAATAAATCATAGAGCCACTACCGCCTCTCCGCAACAATTTGGGATAGTGTTATTCAACCTTGCTAGACAAGAAACATGAAGTACGGTAATTCTAAGAAAAAGGCATTCAAACCCACCCAAGTATTTGTGTTCTTAGTTGTGCATTACTCTAGTATTGTGTCTCATTTTTTCAAGCCTTTCCTTTTATTTTAGCGCCTAATTAGACTTTTTTTAAAAATTTTATTTAGTCCACATAAAATAGTTTTTGTGACTTTATGATGTACTGCAAAATTTCTGAGGCAGTTTTTATTGATGAATGACATTTATCTATCGATGTAGGAGATGTCAAAAATGTTTGTGTGGGCGTGTGTATTGCATATGAAGATGGTTAGATTGTCTGTTGGTGACACAATGTGACGTGTAGTTATGTTCCTCACTCTTTGTTAGAGAGGGGGCGGCGGATGTTTCGCTGCAAATTCTATCATTTATCCTTCGTTCGACTACATACCCCTTATCGATTGATTTCATATTACGTAATAGCTGGAAACCAATAAGTACCTGCAGACATACAAATACACGTACCCACACACACACACGCAGACACACTGTTGAATCAGGCCGTATAATTTGAAGTAAACTATGAACGCTTGGTTAAACAAAACTTGAATTCATTAAGCACATCATTTGCATCAATCCATGTTTTTTCTTTTCAAAGTCAAGTGCATTTTTTATGCTGGCTTTGTTACTAATCTGCTAATATGACTGTTTATCTCGTTTTAGTTGATTTTTAATTCGTAAAGTTTGATGAATAAATAAAATTTCAGATTTTGAGAATTTGCAGGGATTTTGGATGAATTTTAATTGTGAAATTTTCAAAATGAACCAACATTAGTTGCGGAGATCACTGGAAATCAGCAAAGAGCGCAATGGACAGCTGTTTCACTCCTACTTTAGGACTCTTCAACAGTGTACACCCACGAGCCAACTAGGGACAGATTATGCGACGAAGCTTTTCGATCATTCATCCACCTGAGCTGAGATTCAATGACCTGTGAATATTTTTACTTTGTAAATCTGTAACGTTACGTTGTTTCCAGTAATATCTTTGATGTGATTTCACTTCATCTTGACATGGCGCCATGTTACGAGTTGACGAAATTGGAGTTCAAGGGTCCTTAAATTCTGGCTTAAGCAACTAGATGGGCAACAAGCTTCGTCTCGTAATCTGAAGGTTCCAGATTCGATCCTTGATATAAGGTTGTGGGTACACATTGCGGGAGAGTCCAGAAGTAATGATAAACATCTGTCCGGTGCTCCTTTTTGTTTTTCAATGATCTCTCTAATTGATTTTGGTTCGTGACGAAAATGTTACAATTGGAACAGCAGTTTACCATCTTATCTCATCAAAGCGTACTCAGAGTGCTTCAGTCCACTCATCTGCAGTTGTGTTCACTCACACCAGCTTTGAAATATAGCACCAATAATATCCAATATCATGCATGAGCTACTCTTTCGACAGTAGACTTCGTGGACCACGTCAATCACAACTTAGTATGAAAATCTCTAGGAAATCCAAGTGGAAGATTGCCCCTGTAAATACTAGTGAGAGGAAACGAGTTTGTTGAGTCTATGAAAGTTTTATTTATTCGTCATAAGCCTTACTGTTCTGATAAGTCCCAAAGTGGCTATTCATAGTTGGGGGGGGGCGTTCGAATTGACTTATTTATTTTGATTACAGCTTGATACCATACCGTATTTTTGGTACAAGTATGGAATTTTCAGCATGTGATATCGGTAGCCCAAATTTCGCAGGTCGACCATAGATATCGGGTGTTCGTCGGCATGGGATCGAACTTCGGCGAGAGTCCTAACCGCTGTGCCACCGACACACATTTGGTCGGTGTCAAATCGGGTTCATTACTGATGATCTTGGCCCCAAATGAGTGAAATCACTGTCGGGTGTAACTCCTTACTGGCTGTTTTGTAGGGGAACCTAATTGATGTGAATGGTATTCAGCTAGTCGCATGAATCAGTTAGTAGTATAAAGCATCACTTAAGAAGAGAGAAAATTTATCAAATGTTGTGTAGATATGCAAATGAAAACCAACAAGTTGGCAGAATAAGCATCAAAGATAGGATTTCAGGTGAACAAAGAGAAGACAGAGGTGATGACTTCTGGCCAACAGCAACAACAACAACAGACAACAATCAACATAAATGGGAGAAATCTGAAAGAAGCAGCCTCCTCTACGTACCGACCTGGGAAGCATCGTTTCAACTACAGGCGAAGCTGAGGAGGATATCAAGGCGAGAGTAGGAAAAGGAAGGTAAGCTTTCATTTCTCTCAAGTCTGTGTGGAAATTGACAGTACTCATCATGAAAAATAAGGTCTCGATTTCCAACTCTAATGTGAAGTCAGTGCTATTATACGAATCAGAGACTTGGTGCTGCGCCACGTCACCGAGGGCACTTCGAACAAATTACAGACCTTCATCAACAGCTGTCTTCGCTCTATAGTCAAAATCAAACGGCCAGAAAACATCAGCAACAGGGTTATCTGTCAATGATCGAACCATCTTAGCAGGAACTAATTGTGCAACAAATATGGAGGAAGAAATGGAGGTGGATTGACCATACTCTGAGAAAACCATCAAGTGACACGACACTCCAAGCCATCAGTCGAGTGGAATCCGAATGGAAAGCGGTGAGTTGGTCGTCAGTGCGAGGGTGATAAGGAGGAGGTCATGTGAAGAGGAGTTAAAAGCATGTGGGCAAACGTGGCAGAGAAGGGAACAAAGTGGAGACGTTCGGTTGAAGCCCTATGTTCCTCTAGGAACTAAAGGAAACAATACTATAATAATAATG